CGTAAAGATATTATGGACTTGAAATAATCACTGTTTTAGAAAGTATTGTCCTTGTGAAATTTTTTTACCAATGAACTTTGGAGATAAAAACTACACCATTGTGTAGCCCGTCGAAAACTGTATCTGATTCTGAACATAAAAGTTCATCGTAGGATCAATTCCTAAGTGATTGAGTTGCGTGAAAGTCTATGATCTTCCAAAAATGTGGATGAAAACATAGTATGAGCTTAGGAATTTTTACTGATGTTGGATTATTTTTAATTGGTTCATATACGGTTTTGTGCAGAATTTTACATTCTTTCAGATGAGCCTGTTTTAAGCTCTATCAAATTATGTTTTGACAAACATAACCGTTCTGCACTGGGTAAAAATAGGATATAATTGGTATGACCGGGAAGGCATGAAATGGTTTCGAAAATGTATTTGAATTTGGCATCAAAAGATTTTCCGTAAAATTCTGCATCAGAAAATAAACTTCTTATGAGAATCGATTCGTGGGCAGATTCCTGTTCTTATGCGCCTCTGTCCTTTGATAAAATAACAGTCAAATATACCGTTAGAACAATAAAAGATTAACATGTCTTATAAAAAAGTTCAATTATTTATTTAATATTATTTCTCATATTATAATAAAGAGACACATTTACATCAAGTTCTTCAAAATCGATTTTCATGTTTGAAATTATCTAGAGTATTGTCGATTTACTTACTAAAATAAAAAATATATTCATTATAAATTTTAATGTTTAACAGATTAGAGATTCATAATATTAATATGAAAAATAACTAATTCTATGTAAAAACACTCGAAATAAATACTAAAATGTTCATCATCATATCTTGTTAGACACAAAATGTGAACACATTGTGTCACATAGGAGGTCTCGTAGAGCAAAATTTGTTTTCCAGGCCCATATATAACACTTTTCAGGTGAGTATCAAAGAGGGTCTATTTCAGGACGAAGCTATTATCATAATTAATCCAGATATAGTTATATATGCTATAATATGATAATAGTTTCCATGCTGATATAGTTCCTGTTTGATATTCACCTGAAAAATGTTATATATGAGCATGGAAAACATAATTTTGCTCTAGAAAACCTCGTATATCAGACAATGTGTTCAAATTTTGTGTGTAACAAGATATGATGATGAACATTTTAGTGTTTATTTCGAGTGTTTTAACATAGAATTAGTTATTTTTTATATTAATCTTATGAATCTGAAATCTGTTGAACATTAAAATTTATAATGAATAATTTTGTTATTTTAGTAAGTAAACCGACAATACTCTAGATGATTTGAAACATGAAAATTAATTTTTTGTTGAAAAATTCATGAATAAACTATGAAAAAGACAATTAAATGAGTTGTATATAATCTTAATATTTTATTAATTGTCGTTAAATAAATAATTGAAAATAAAAATAAAATAAAGATGGATTATTTGTTTGGTTTGTTTTTGTTTTAAATAAAAATATATAATAGAATATTAAATATATGCAAATATCTATTTTAGAATAAAATGGTTTAAATAATATATAGATCACTGTAAACTCTATTTTTTTCAAACAAATACTGAGAATAAAAACAAAAAGAAAGAAAAAAAAATACTTTTTAAATCAAATTCACAAATATTATATAATTAATATAATAATAATAATAATTAGAAAAATGTTAAACATTGAAAAATTGTTTAATGATAATGATGAAATCATATTTTGTTTTTTTTCTCGTTCGATATCCAATGTTGAACGTAAAGCAACTGAAAGATTACGTTTATTATCTTTAATAAAAAAGAAAAAATATTTTATTTAAATATATAATTAGAAAGAAAAAGAAAAAGAAAAAGAAAATTACCAAGAACTTTAATATGAAATATTTTTGATATTGGTTTAATAGCAGTTACAAAACAAGAATAATAACCTTGATCAGATATATCAATTTGACGTATTTCAAGATTTAAATAATCTCGATTATCTTTATCAACTAAATGTGTTAAATGATAACGGTTTGATGATGTATATTTAAGTAAATCAACATATAAAAGATTTTGTAATTTTTGAGTTTCATTTATAAAATTAACACGAGACCAAGTTACCTTAAATTTTATTATTTTTATTCAACTTTAAAAAAGACAAAAAAACAAACAGATAATTTTTATTTTTATATTAACTTACATGTCGTTGATTTCGATTTTCTATAATACATGATAATTTTGCTGTATGATTAACATAAGTTATTATTTCATTTTGTGTTGAAATTATTTCTGGTTCAATATTCGATGATATACAATTACCTATAAATATTTATTTTTAATAAAAATATTATTTTTCTTTTTCTTTTTCTTTTTTTTTTATATAATAATATTTTTACTTACTGTTAACAATCAAACAACTAAGACAAACAAATATTTTCCAAAGAATAATAGTATCCTCTTTATATTCCATTTAATTAATAAGAAGAATTTTATTTCTTAATTGAACATTTTTATTCAAAATCAAATTATCTTATAATAAATTATTTTATTATAGAATGACTTTCGTCTACAATAATACAATAATACTCAACATATTATACCGATTAATATAAAAGCTTCGAATAGATCCATTTATTGATCGATTGAATAAATCTAGAAATTATTTCTCTCCGATTAAGCAAACAAAAGAAAAGAAAAGAAAAGAAAAGAAAAAAAAAGAAAAAAGAAAAGAAAGAAATTTTGATTAAATACTCATAAAAATGTTCCTGATATGATCATAACAATAGAAGATATAATAACAAGTAAATAACTATCACTTAATCATAGATCATTTTCATTAAGTTTTCTTTTGAAAACATCATATTCATATACATTATTTTCATTCTTATCTTCATTCTAACCATAACAACCAGTTATTTCACTCACTCATTCACTCATTTATATATATGTGCATGTCTTATCATGTGTTTCCTTTCTCTACAATTGATTATGATAATCACGCAATTCTTCATCTATATATATATATATATATATATATTTGTGTACAAAGTGAACCAGAAAGAGGTGATTATGACAGATTTTCTATGTCGTCTATTTACTCTAAGGCATGATGTCGGTTCATTTGAAAAAAAAACATAAACATACGCATATGAATGTTATCGAATTTATATAAGATATATAAATTATTTCTTAGAAAAAAGTAATTTTTTATATTAATAAAATATGAATAATATTGATTTTATTATTAATAACATATTTAAAAAAGATAAAAATATAGAATATTATTCAATTATATATATCGATATCAGTAAAAAAAAACAATAACAAAATCTTAAATAATTGTTGATGATTATATAATTAATCTCTTTCATTTTTTGTATGTTTTAATGTTAACAATAGAATATAATCAAATATTTTATTATTAAGATAATATTTATTTCGACATGGTCTATGATTTACTTTTACAAATAGAATATAATCAATGATCGATGAGAGAGATCGATATATATATATATATGTATACCGAAGCACGCAAGAATATATCGAAGACTATAAATGCAAAGAAAAGAATTTTTGGTACCAACGTCGTTATGACGATTACAAGGATTCATCATTCTATTATTCTTCTGTATTGTCTGCAATACAAACGGAAGAAAAAAAGAGAGAGAGAGAGAGAAAAAAAAGAAAATTGACACATAATACTGTTCAGATAAAAAAGAAAACAAGAATAAAACGGAAAGTAACTGTTAATGTGGTGATTGATTATAGTATAATATAGAATATATGACGCAATATGAATAAGTGACATTCAAAGCTTAGTGAAATAAAAAGAGAAAAAACTTCATAAAGCAAACATAGATCAATCTCAATTGAATAGAACAATAATATCTAGAGCGTAATTAATCTATTGAATAAAGTTTATTTGTGTGATTAGTACACTTAATAATCTAGTTGAATATATTTTCATCAATATGTTTCGAGTGGTTAGATGGAAAAAAAAAAGAAATGGAAAAATCGAGTTAAATATAACAGAGAAGAAAAAACAAATCAACACATTCTAACTATTCACTTAGCATTGACTGTGACTATTCATCCTAGAGTACATCAGTTATGTTAGCTCCGATCGAAATTCGACATCAATTTTTTTTCTCTCTTATTCTCTCTCTCTCTCTCTCTCTCTTTTTTTCTTCTTCGTGTTATGCTCGTACCAATGACGTCTGAACAACACTCTATTGATCTATATATGCACACACACATATACACATTAGAACATAGGAGTAAAGACGAAAAGAGTGAATAGTGAAGTAGTCAATTGAATGTAAGAATAAGAGAGAAAAAGAAAAGAGAGAAAAAAGAGAAAAGAAAAAAGAAAAAAGAAAAAAGAAAGTAGCAGCAGCATTGATGTTAAGACGTGATGTCCACTAAGTCACGCACAATGATCAAAATGTAAAATAAAGCCGATAGGAAATGGTATATCCAATAATTTAACTCTTGTGTGATGCAGATCAATTTGATAATAATTCTAGACATGATTTAATTGCATTAATAACTAAATTGAATATCTTATCTATATCTATATGTATATCTTCATCATTAAAGATGAAAACGATCAAATAATTAGCTCGATTTTTATTTAGAATAACAAATAATTCTTTATATTGTTTTCAAGTCTATAGAAATATCTTTTGTTCGTCTCAACAAACTAGAAAAATTTTTTCAAACTATATTGATAAATAATGAGACAAAGACAAACAAAAAAGTGGCATCATATATCAGTAAGATGAGTATCTATATAATAAACCTATTTCCGTTATTGTTTATCTGATAATAATATAAATAAAAGTATGATTATGATTATGATTATGATTATGATAAAGAATGATTGTAATATTGATTATTTAGATGTTGAAAATAAAAGAAAACAAATGAACATGAAGTTTTAGTTTTGATGATTATTCAAGTTGATAAATAGAAATAAATCGTAGAAATAAGAAAAAAAAAACACAAAATGAATATTGTCTCAATGGGGAAAAAAATACGTAACATAGTTTAGATCGATTTTCTGTTTCCGTGCAGACATGTTACACCTTTCATCATTTATAATATATATTGGTCAGTACACTATTGAGAGACATAGATCGATATGTTTCCGTTAGATTATTTAATTTAGTTTTTTTGTTTTTCTATATTCTTATTTGACAGTTAATGAAGCGAACAAAGAAACGAGAATAGAACAAAGAAGAAGAACATTAGTAGAGATGACTTACTCATCAAATTATATTTTAACTAAAAAGGATATATCGATTTGAGTTTATTGTTTAATGACGATGACGATCAAACTTTAACAACTATTTTACATATGATATAGATTTATTCTTTTCTTTTTTATCTCTAAAAATATTGTCATATCGAAAATCTTTATGTTTTTTTTTTTTATTTTTTTTCATTTAATAAAGAATTTCGTTTGTTAAGATATTTTTATTTTGAATTAAAAATTAAATGAAAAAGAAAAAGTTTCTTTTATTCTTTGATTTCAACTTTCGTTTTATTCTAATAATTCTCAGTTAATTAGAATAAATTAAAATTTTCTTCATAGCATAAGTGAGACATCGGTTTCGGTTTCGGTTTCGGTTTCGATCGATGGTTATTTAATATAAATAAATCTATTTATTATTAATATTGATAATTGTTAGTAGGTTTTTGTTTTGTTATTTTTGAAATATTTTCATGTGTTTAATAAAAACATAATAGATATTGTGTATATTCATGTTGAATATCATCATTATATTGATATATTGTTTACAGTTAAATAATCGAACGTATATAATTATTTCATTGTCAAAAAATCTTAAACATTTTTATTTTAGAAAAGAAAGTTCTTTTATTTTTCGTATTTGTCAATAATAAATGTTCACTCGATCGTCTATCTAATATATGTTTGACAATATATATTAATATATTTGATAAATCTTCTAATAATTATCTGTTGATTCATAAATTCTGATCAAACGAAATATATCTACAGTTTAATTATTGGATATTTAATAAAATCAATTTGTATACTCTATTTAGAACAATGACATAAGGATTGAATGTGGGATGCGAGTAGAGTCTTTCTAGTCTAGTTAATCGATCTATTATATGTGATTATGTTTAAATATTCTTCATTGTAGAGAATATGTTGAATCATTTAAAATCTAAACAATTAAATAATCTTATGTGGAATTCAGTGGAACCTTATACTAAAATGTTTTGAACATGATCAATTTCTAGCTGAGTGATCGTTGAATTTTAAGAATTTCTATATTAGCTGATGATATGTTGTTCTTAAGAGCCATTGCATGTAAGGCACGACCAAAAGCACTGGACACTGCTCCATCGAGTTTCTTCAATTTGATTCATTTTCATACCTATGATAGAGGACACTATTTGATGATGTTTGACGCAAACCGCAACAAAAAATATTGAACTGTTATTTTTTTATTGATTTCTTTCGAAAAGCCATAAATTTCAAGACCATAAAAAATTAGCGCATTATCACCACTATAACTCGAGAATGGTTCAACATACTCAGCTGAAACTTTGTACAAATACTTATAGTAGGTAATGCTAACTGTGAAAAAAAACTTCAGCTAAATCGGTTCTGTTCTTTGTTTTCTGTAGATATTATTATGTAAGGAAAAAATGCTAATTTTAGCTATCTTTGTGGTTTTAGATCTGGTGATTAATGCATGACGAAGCTCTGCAATTATTTTGCTGGGAAGAGCTCTGTGACACCTTACTTCATTAAAAATTTCAGTTTCCTGAGTCAAAGCGTTTCTTCGTGGGAACCTTTCCAAAGTTCAGGTTTTTGCCAAATTAGTGATTTTGGGCTGCGGTGGTCTCAAAAAATATATAATTATTTTCACGAAAAGCACTTGGCCCTGATAGGCCTACCCTTGATGTACAACCTAATGCAAAAACAAACCTGGGACCTGTATGGGCTCGTTGGCCAATGGCTTTGCGCGGAGAGTCCTGCGCAGAATAGGTTAGTTTTTATACTCTTTTTGAAACAGCTAGGAAAAACAGGCAAGTCATGACACCTGGGTAATTTTTGATGCAGAAAACGATGGCGATAGAATCCTGTGTAGGACAAAAAGGTGAGGGGGGTGGGCGAGGGGTTTGATTCTTACAAAAGCTTATATGTGTCGAATATAGTGCTTTCTATGAAGACAGAAACTTTTCCAATTTTTTTGGCTACTGTCCCCTCTCTGCTCTCCCCCCCCCCCCACCGCATAGAGTCCTTTCAGAATTTCAGCGGATCTCCCTGTCGGGCACTTTTTGAGAACGGCTAGTCAGAAAGATTTGAAACTTCCAGGATAGACAGATCTCGATGAGTAGAGCAAAAGTTGTCATAGACTCAAAATTACCTGATGCTTCCTTCAGGGAGATCTAGGGGTCGCAAGGTCCAAAAAAGGGGTCCATAATCGCCCCCGTTTCTCTGAGAGGGTGTGTTTATTTGGGCTGAAGCTTTTTTTACAGATACTAGAGACACTTTATGGGGACTACTTTTTTTGGTTTCTTTGTATCTCTTTCCTTTCGAAGAAAAAGGCCAAAATACGAAGAGCACCCTAAAAATGCATATTTTTTTGGAATAGTGCTTGTCTTGTGAGACCGGAAAAAACTCAGCAGTACAATATTTTTCAAAATTAAAAAAAGTCAGCACCCTAAAGTGTGTCTAATATCCGTAGAAAAAATTTCAGCCCAATCGAACGTAGTGTGCCTGAGAAACGGGGGCGATTTGGTAAATTTTTTTTGAAAGACCGAATTTTCAGAGAACCGAGAAACAGAAAAAAACGTGCTATACCCCTACGGGAATCATTTTATCCATTCGTTCTTATTTATGATTTACAGCTATGTATGAGCTCTCAAAATGTCACCAGTAGAGAGAGGACGCTTGAAAACACAGGTAAAGCAAAAAAATGAAAAAATGAAAAATTTGAAAATTTTTGGTCCTGAAAGGGCGGGGGAGGGGCTGAAATTCACCGTGCATCGATTATGTTTTCTAAGTTACTATGTCTTATGATGGACTTTTATGAGGACCCAGTCTTTTGCCTTGTGTAATGAAATTTGAGAAATTCTCTTCAACAAATATCACAATAAGCTTGTGATAAATGTAAAAGCTCTGTATAACTGTATTTACCATAAAAATATTTTGAAGTATAAAGGAAAGACATTTTTTTTCAAAAACTCCTTATGCAAATTCCCATGTCGATGTTCATTTAATAATAAATGCGTTATCATCAGATATCAGATAAAATAAATGTCTCTTTCTCTGATCAAAAATCACACAAATGATTTTTATCCTTTCTAAAATACTAAAAGTGCTCTTCACATCAACCTAAGTCATCGATATTGTAGTGTTTACTACTCTCTAGAGACGTAGTGAAATACTACACTTTTTTCATCATTTGTGTTAGATAATGAAGTGTATCATAGCTGATACTACAGGGTGATTGAAAAGTAACTAGCTATTTTAAATTCTTTATTACTCTCATACAACAAAAGATATCGTCCTGATTTGTTCACCATCTTGAAGTATGGACTATGCCCTTTTGTTCTAGATGAAATAAGTCGATTGATTATCTGACTGTCTAAGATGAAGCACGAAGTTAGTTTAAAATACATGAAAATGACTTTTTATTTTGAATCTATTACCAAAGTATCTTTGTAGTAATAGCTAGAATAATTAGACAGCAGTATTTTTTTCGCTACTTCTCAAGGTTGTAGTGCAAAGAAGATGATGTCTTTTATAACTACGCAATACGTGACAGTTAATAGTAAAATGTAGAATAGGAGAAAAAGAAGGAAATAATTTCAGAATATCAATAATTGTCGCTGATGGATGAAAAAAGAGAAAAGAAAAGAATATAAACTTTATCCATCGGGAAGAAAAGAAGAGAAGGGAAAGAAAATGACTCCACATGTACATATACACAGAGAAAGAGAACAAACTCTAACAGAAATCATTTATTGATCGTACACAACAACAGATATCAAAACAATTTTTTCGTTAATTTGACGTGTAATACCACTCTGTTTCAAAGAAATTAACATGACCAAACGACTGACTGTTCAAGATCGAGCATTAATTGCGACTCGATATGAGATGTGGCAGTCGGTGATTGAAGTACAAAGATGGTGGAGGAGTCAACAGGGCAGACATGCGACACTTCATCCAAATACTATCAAAAACTGTCANAATATTAAAATTAAAAAAGAAAAGATTCGAGTGTAGCTTATGATATTGCAGATGAATAGCTGTTGAGGACTGTGGCAACATCGTATTATCATCCGTGAGATATATGCTATCGTATCATCTCCATACATCGGGTACCTCCGCTAGTACTTTATATATCAAAGTTCGATTTCTTTCTTCCTTATGAAAGTATCTAGTTTTCATATCAAATAGATGTATTTTGCATACAAGTCATCGATCAATAACTTTTCGCTCAAAAAAAAAAAAAAGAAGAGAAAATTAACCCGCAGAGTATTCGAAAAATTCGATGATTCAAATAAAATCAGAATGAAATTAATTGGATAACTTTGATTTTTGTTAAAAAATGAGAGTCATCGATGTGAAGAAATGCGAAAGAAATGAAACTATTGTAGTGATTTTGATATTTTTCACAATAATCAAAATTCATAAATTTTCTTTTTTGATGAAAATTCGGAAAATAAGCATTTAAAATGGGATATTTTATTTCACGGGTATTATTCTCCAATATAGTGCTCATTTATATTGTGTTTCAAGGTGATGATAATAGTGCATCGGGAGTATTCCTCAAGAAAATTCCATGATCATAAAACACTACTTTACAACATACACTAGAACGCAACTCGGATTGGATCACGTCGAGTCGAATTGACTCTACAGTTTGAATATGTTGTAGATGGAAAAGTCATTTTAAGTGTTCTTTTTTCTTTTATCAGTTCTATCATAGACAGTGCATTGCAAAATAAGATGTGTTCCATCTATGTCTCGTTTGTGATAGTGCCCTAGGTACTACCACAGAAATGTGTTACAATCTTTTGGTTAGCCATTTATTTAACAATATTCTTGTGCATGCATCTACATATAACTAACTTTGTTGAACATAGTGAACTTGTACATTTTTATATATGTAACATTATTTTGAAATGAATGATGATGCATTTTTTTAAAGATTGATACAAATAGAACTAGAACGAAAATGTTAATAAAATTAGAATCAATGATTGTACTCTTCTAATTCAATTTTTTTTTGTTTATTAGTAAATGTAATGAAATTGTGCTACAATACAAAACTAATCAAGAATTTATTTCTCTAATTAGATTTCTATAACTCGGCATGAAAATTCTAAATTTTCTCAGCCAACATGGTGTTATTAAGATAAATTAACTTTTCTCGCTCTTTATATTGGCTTATTTAACTTTTATCACATGAAAAAAATAGAATTTTCTTAAGCAATATTTATCAATCAATAGTCATAACTAATTCTCTTAAACAATTCTGACATCATACGAACGATCATAAACAATATATTGATTCAACAATCAAAGACAGCATTTATTTTTTAAAAGAAAAAGAAACTTTTTTTAAATGATGTTTTTATTTTAACAATAATTTTGAAAGTTAATGAAACAAATATCAATTAGTTTCTTGTCTAATGGGTTTAAAATAATCAAGCCAGTTGCATAGCTTCATGAGTTTCTGTTGCTTTAACTTTTCCATTAACCACATCATATTCAATCTTTTTTACATTTATTGATAAAACCTCAGCTGTTCCTTTAGTCAATGTATAATCAGCTTGTCTTAAGAAGAAAAAAAAAGAGTAAAATAGAAATAAAAAATAAAATAGAAACTTGAAAATATTTACTTTTCAGTACGAACAGCAATAATTTCATATGATAAAAATTTATCTAATTATTCTTTTGTTAATACATACATATTAATTTTACTTCCAGAAAATAAATCTGTTATGGTAGATGCATAGAGTGCATCACGTATCAATTGTTTTGTTTCATCTTCCTTTAAAAGAAAATGTTTATTTGAAAAAGAAAAAAAAAAAAAAACAATTTAAAATTGAATTTACTATTATGTTTGCTTTATAACGGTCTTCAATAACGGATAATGATGTATATCCACCAGAACCTAAATTTGATATTCTGATAAAAATATTCAATAAAAATAAATTTTACCTGAAGCAACAAAAGGTAAAAATGAGATGCTTCTATGAGGATGAACTGTTGCCATATGAGAACCAGTTACATCTACATCAACAATAATTAAATAAGCACCGAGATAACCTTGATGTCTAATTTAAAAAAAACAAAAACTTTTTAATTTCATAAATAAACTAATAGAAAATGATACCTGAAAAGATGTTGTTGGATTTTTGTAACAGCTGTCGCAACACGAACTTGTCGATCTTGATTTAATTTAAATAATTCAAGTTGAGATTCAAGTAAACGTGCTTGAAAATCACAATCAGCTGATGTTCCTGCACCAAGTGCATAAATATTATCTGATAAACGATAGATGTTTAATACATTATCATCAAATATTATATCTCCTGCTGGACATCGACTATCAGCAGCAATAACAATGGCATCCTTTTAGTTAAAATTAAATTTATTTTTTATTAGAAAAATTGAATTAAATACTTTATAGGCAACTGCAGCAATGGTTGTACCAGTTTTATGGATTTTACCAGGTAAAACACCATTTTACAATAAAACTTCATTTCTAAAGGAAAGATAAAAAACGAATAAAATAAATTAAAGAATGAAATATTACCGACGACGATTATCAAAAACAAATCTACCAGTTGGTTGTTCAAAACCGAGACCAGAAATTACTTTGCTTTTACAAGTTTCTTACAAATAACTAACAAATCTTCATCCACAATAAGAAGCCATAAGATGACTCATACAATGGTGTTAATTCATATGTCGCCCTCTATTAAATAAAACATTTAGAATTCTTTTTAAAAAATTCAATAAAACACGTTTATTTTTATTTTTACTTCATTGTTTAACAAAATATTATTTATCTCATATTAATTTTTTGATGGTCACTTTCAAACCAATCACTNATTGATTTAGCTATTTGTTCAATTATTGGATTATATAATGGTGATACATCTTCTTCACGTTCATTTGGTCGTTTTAAATTTGCTAATGGACAATAACTAGTTAGAATAATATTTTCTTTTTTAGAATATTGACGTAATTCTTCTTGATTTAAATATGGATGAAGTTCAACTTGATTTACAACTGGTTTAATACGAGCTATTTTAAGAATTTCATCAATTTGTAAGGGTTTAAAATTTGATAAACCAATTGAACGTACTAATTTTAAATCAACTAAATTTTCCATTGCTTTCCATGTATCAGCAATAGTTACATCTTCAGCATAATAACGAACTGTTTTATCTTCATTTTGTGACCATACATTTTCAGTCATATTTTTAAAAGCAATAGGCCAATGTATTAAATAAAGATCAACATAATCTAATCGAAGTTTTTTTAAACTATCACGAATAGCCCATTGAACATCTTCAGGTACATGATGCTTAAATAAAATATATTTAAAATAAAATTTTTGAAAAAAATAAGAATTTTATTTATACTTGATTCCATAATTTCGTTGTAATAAATAAATCTTCACGTTTTATTTTTCCTTGACTCAATTCTAAAGCTTCATGTATACCATTACCAACTTCATTTTCATTTTTATATAACCATGCACAATCAATATGTCGATAATTACAATTTAATATAGCTTCTTTAACTATATTTTGAACTTTGCCTGGTTCACTTCGCCATGTTCCAAGACCTTTAGTAATTCAAATTCATATTTTAACTTTTAAAAACATATGTTTTATATTAAGCTTAACCAAGTCGTGACATTGTATTTTTATCAGAAAGTGTTATGCGTGAATCCATTGTCAGCATTTCATTATGACGTATCGACATGTTTAAAAGAAAACGAATATCTTAAATAGAAATTGAAATATGTACAAACCTCACCGATTGATTAATATTTTTGATATATAAGTCTTTCTATTGATGAATATTTTTACTTATTTATGTACTTTTCATTTTGTTTCTTGTCTTTTGATTGTTTTGTGTGTTGTGATTTTAACTTTGGTGTCTGTCTTCCTTTTTTTTTTGTAGAAATTTGTATGTCAACGAAATATCCAATCATACTATTTGTTAAAAGAAGAAAATGTCAATATTAGCTAATCAATTTTTTAAATAATTTATCAATAAATCTTTAAACAAACATTTCCATTAGGAAGTAATCAAACTTTTCATCTCTTTTTATTTTATGAAAAACTATGACATCAATGTTTGGTATTTAATTTTAGCGTCATCTACCGACAAAAATCTTTCAAAACAACCATTTTCACATATTCATTTTAGAGAAAACTTTGAAAATAAAAATTAATATTGAGGAGTACACATTGAGAACCTATTATTTTCTTTTCTATAAAATGACATTTAAAAATCGTTGTTATTTTATTGGAATATATTCAGAACAAAAGATAGAATTAGCAAAACAATAGTCTTATTAAAAAAAAAACTAAATCTTTACTTCACTTCATTGACATGTGAAAAATTTTTGTGAAACGGTCATCAATCATAAGTTTTTGGTAACATCCGAGCCCGAATCGCAACGGCAAGATTTTGACGAAATCCAGCTCAGATAGAACTGATATTTCTAGAGAAAACATCAGGTTTTAGGGAAATACGATATTGGATATCTAATCTTTCCGCATTCGATCTACAAAATGGATCAAATCAGTTCGATATAAGAAAAATAGTAGAAGCTTATCGTAAAAAAGGAGAAAGCATACAAAAACATCATTCATTTGTAATACCATGATAATTTGTGATTCTAATAGAATAATATCATTTGCAAGATGTTCTACTGCTCAAGCATAAGTACCAATGCTTTAAAAATATTTTGTATCAATGGTTAGATACTACCATCAGAGAACATATTCCTATAAATATTTCATCTACAATAACAAAGCAGAATACTTAAATAAAACATGATTGAATAGATAAATGACTAATATGTTAGCAACAAACAAACGAATTCAGAGAAAATTGATTGCCATTATTCACTCATCATTTGCTCGGAAAACGACACAATCTAGTTAATGAATCCATTAGTATAATACATAAGGGTGTGGGTGAGGATATGGTAGACAAGAAGACGAAGACCAACACCCACACCCTTTTTTAAACTTTTTATTATATCCATCATACATTCAAGACATTTTGATGATGATATTAATAATATCGATGATCAAGATTTTGTTCTTCATTCTTATAAAAATGTTTTTAATTGTGGTGGATCATCTTTACATAATACAAATCCAATTAAAAGTAAAAATAAATGAACAAATTATATAACATAAATAAAATTAAATGAAATATTAAAAATAGCTAAACTTTCAATATAATTTATAACACGTAATATTTCGGTGTCTGTTTCATAGATACCATCATCAGACACAAAACTAACGACATAAACTATTCACACATTTATATCAGATTTATTACAGCCTAATATATGTGTGTAGGATAAAGGTATCAGCACATTGAAAATAATAAGTTAACTCAATAGAGGAAAGAATCAACTTGAATAAATAAAGACGTCCATTTTTTAGTGCTGTATATATATATATATATATAACGGCTTGAGCAAGCGTGACGCGATGACGTTTTGGCCACAGTTTTATTAATTTTTCTCAGCACTCAGATTGCTCAGAGAATTTCTTCTTTCGTTGTAAGATGCATCTATACCTTCTGCAAAATCCCTGAGAGTATGAGCTCATTTGAGCGAGCGGTTTGAAAACTATAGCAAAAATACATGGCGTAACGCGATGACGAGAAAGGGACAAAAAGTTGAGGGTGACATGATTGTTTTTTATTTCTCTGCGAATGTACACTGTATTCAAAGAAACGTTCTATTCATATTTTGTAGCCAACAGTTGGAGGTATCCAACAGAGCAAAAACTTCTTCGAACAGACTTCTTATTTTGAATAGGAATCAGTTTGATTAACGTAACGCGATGATAATAACTTTTGCAACCATTTTTTTTCATGGCTCATTTTATTATGTGTACACCTCTGTGAAGACAAGATACTATTTTTATTTTACACTTAGAATGTGCACGTGTGAGATGTTGTGTTTATTTATTCCTCTAGTACAAAAAGAAATCATAAAAACAACAAATCAGTTTGACTAATAGAGATACCCATATATTTATATAGTGGAAAAAACTCAAAATTTCAGTTAACACTTTTTCTTCATAATTTTTATATGGTTCGATAGAGCTCAAAAAACTATCTAAAAAAATGTATTTTTCAATTCATTTTCCTATTTTATAAATATTAAAAACCTCAAAATACTAAGATCATTTTATACGAAATCGTCCTAGTGACAGTATGATCTTGGTCTTTTAAGGTTTTTAAACCTTATAAAATAGGAAAATTGCTTTAAAAGTACATTTACTTACACAGTTTTTTTAGCTCTATCTAACCATATATGAATCATGGAGAAAAAGTGTTAACTGAAATTTTGAGTGTTCCCCACCATACGCATATATCATAGAAATAATAGATAATTTAGATTGATAATTTCATTCTACCTGAACGCAATCAACTTATTAAATGAACCAGCTATCCTCTTATGGCAATCTGCT